ATCCCAGCACTCGGGAAGGCAGAGGCAGATGGATCTCTGTGAGTTCCAGGCCAGGCTGGACCGACAGCCTCCAAAACAATACAGAGAAACCCTGTCTCGTAAAAACCAAAAAAAAAAAAAATACATTGACAAGGAGTAGAACTTGTGCCAGCGCTGAAGTTTTCTCGTGACCACAGACAAATTTTGACTTTGCAGGCTAATTGAGGTTGTCTTGGTTGGACCAATGATGCTCACAGGAAAGGTATCCTTGGATGAGAGAGAGAGAGAGAGAGAGAGAGAGAGACAGACAGACAGACAGACAGACAGAGACAGACAGACAGACAGAGAGAGAGAGAGAGAGAGATCCAAGATAAGTTAAAGGCCAGCCTGGTCTACATTTTAAGTTCCAGGCCAGCCAAAGCTTCAAAGAAAGGTTCTGCCCCAACAAGACAAAGACACAGGAGTAAACCCTTCTTACAAAGGTTTGTTGAAACTGGATTGTCAGTGTGTGCCCTTGCTCCTGGCTCCCAAGACATCTTAAGGTGATTTCTTCATGCTCAAGATGTTTATTTTTAATTTGTATCTAAATAAAACAAGTAACTTTGCTTTCAAAACCTATTGTTATTCCTGTGTTGGCAGACAGTTCTGCTCATTATTCTCTAAGGTGTAATAGTGTCACTCAGTGACATAGAACTCTATTCCAATGGAATAATTTTGAATATTTGTCACTTCCATATTTAATAATTTAGCTTATGTTTTTGGGACTATGATTGCAGTTTTAAAAGATGTTTGCATATTATATTTTGTTATGCATTAAATGAAATATTTATACCCAAATTGTCCCTGTTTACACAAGTGTGCCTGCTTGTAGGGAATTGAAGGATATATTTATTAATCTTAACTGCAGTGAGCAGAAGTAAACCACTGACTTTTTAAATTTATAAAATGAGTTTAGAATTGGGGGAATTAAGCTTCAGCTGGAAGAGTTCTCACCTGATAAGAACTAATCGTATTTTTAAGAAATAATTTGATCTCAGGCATATGTAAGTCCATACTGTAGTTAGCAAGTTCATGATAGGTATCAATTGTGTGTGTATGCCATACATGAGTGTGCGTGTGTGTGTGTGTATGTCATGCATGAATGTGCATGTGTATGTGTATGTATTTGTGTGTGTATGTATGTGTATGTTATGCATGACTATGCATGTGCTTGTGTGCCTGTGGAGACTAGTGATTGATGGAGACTCTCTCCCTCTACTGCTCGTTCACTCTCTCTCTCTCTTTGGTTTTTTTTTTAGAGACAGGGTTTCTCTGTATTGTTTTAGAGGCTGTCCTGGAACTCACTCAGTAGACCAGTCTGGCCTCGAACTCAGAGAGATCCGCCTGCTTCTGCTTTCCAAGTGCTGGGATTAAAGGCGTGCGCCACCACCGCCCCGCTTCACTCTCTTATTTTGAGACAGATCTCTCTGTCTCACTGGTTAGGACACACAGGCTGCCCTGCCAGCTCTGGGGTCTCCCTGTCTTTCTCCCACCCAGCAGACCTCTAGGCTTTTTTCACGTGGGGTGTGAAGATTCAAAGTGAGCCCTCTCTATGCAAACCAGTGAAAAGCTTTCTTTTTTTTTTCCTTTGGATCGACTTTTGCCTTTCATTGAACACTTCATGTTATTTGTACCCAGTTTTGTAAAAAGTAATGGTGAAGTCATTATTATCCATTAAGTGTCTTAGTAGGATTGAGTTGTTTATTATTATTGTTACTACTATTTTTTTTTGAGGCAGGGTCTTTTTCTATAGCTCTGTCTTTGAACTTGCTATGATAGGCCAGTTTGGCCTTGAGCTCACAGAGATCCACCTGCTTCTGCCTCCTGGGTGCTGGGATTAAAAGTGTGTAGTCCCACACCCAGAAAGGTTTGTTAATTATTACAAAATGTTTTAAAGCCTTCCCTTATGTCTATGGCCTGCCCTGAACTGCAGATGTTTCCTCTGTGGAGGTCACCTCCGAGCTTTCTGGGAAAGAAGCTGTTTGTTTCTCCTTCCGTGTCAGTGTGGTCTGACAGTTGTCACCAGGTCACGCCTAGCCATGCTCATGTCACCTCATGTCTCATGCTTCAGGGTACCCTTGAGGTAGCCGTGCAGCCAGACTCCAGTTTTGGTGGCTGCCTCCTGGGGACTAGACAGGTAATTGCATTTGCAGTCCCGAGGCCATCTATTTCCAGAAGAACAGTGCCGCCGAGCCCCAGAGTGATTAATCAGAGCCCTGGGGAGTGGCTGTCCCCAAGGTCTGCTGCTGGCTCCGGTTCCTCTGTATTTCATAGAGAAACAGCTTAAGAGTTCACTGGGCTGGATGTTTCCAGAAAAAATCCAACCAAACTACTTTTGTGATTTTAATTAGACATTATGATGGCCACTTAGATTTAAAAAGACTTTGCGGTGCTTTGTTTTAGGTAGTGGCTTCCTAATGCTGGGACCCTTTAATACAGTCCCTTGTGTGGTAGTGACCCCCAACCAAAAAATTGCTTCCACGCCTCTTCATAACTGTAATTTTGCTACTGCTGTGAATTGTAATGTAAATACCTGATATGTAGGATATCTGATTAAGCAGCCACCAAAGGGGTCACAACGCACAGATTGGGAACCACTGCTTTAGGGTGTTAGACTAAGTTGGTAGTACATAGTAGGGAAGAATCGTTCTTCAAAAGATGAAATATTTTAATTACAGTTGGTGTTTTTTTGTGTTAGATGACATTTGATTAATCTACTTCAAATTGTCAGTGAGTCCACCTTATTCTAGCACCTGATAGATTTAAATGAGGAAATCATGTTTTATTTATGTAGTTTTGTGTGTGTTGGTGGCATGTTGTATGCATGTATGGATGTCAGAGGACAACTTATAGGTGAGTTGCTTCTCTCCTTCACCATATGGGTCCTGGAGACTGAACTTGGGTCTTTGGGCTTGGTGGCCATCACCTTTGCCCACTTGTGCTGATAGATTAAAAAAAAGTATCTTAAAGGCTTTTTGTGAATAATGCTTTCAGACATCACTACTGACAATAAGAGATTCCTGCTTGTGTATGAGGTGGCTTGTTTTCATATACAACCTAATATGTCATATTTGATATGGCTTTGGAACTCTGAAGTTATTTAAGTTAACTTTTATCATTGCACTATTGAGTGTAGGGGTTTTCTACAGAAAAACATGAGTCTGGTTGATCATCACCAACAGTGATCCTGGCTACCAACATTGAGCAAGCAGGCAAAAACCATGTTCCTATCTGAAAGAAATCTGTGAATGCTAAAAATATGGTGTCTTTGCTGAAGGGCCCTGGGCTCTACGTTAAATTCTGTGATTTAATTAGCAAAACAGTGGGTTTTCTCCAGAGAGAAAGGGGAGAACCAAGACCCTAAAAAGCAAAGCATTTCATAGAATAAGCTCCATGAAGAGTTATTACCCTGCAGCGGGCAGGCTTTCTTAACCACCTGGCCTCTGGGTGACTTCTCTTTCCAACTGATGATTGAGACTTTCTTATTTAGTTATTTAATTTTAGAATCCACAAGAAAAAGGGGGAGGCTGGGTGTTAGTGACGCATGCCTTTAGTCCCAGCACTCGGGAGGCAGAGGCAGGCGGGTCTCTGTGAGTTCGAGGCCAGCCTGGTCTACAGAGTGAGTTCCAGGACTGCCTCCAAAACAATACAGAGAAACCCTGTCTCAAAAAACCAAAAAAAAAAAAAAAAAAAAGGAAAGAAAAGAAAAGGGGGAGATACCATATTTCCTTTGTGAAATAGGAAGTAGCTTTCACCTCACCCCTTTTCCTGTCTTCCTTTTAAAGATAATTTCTAATGTGAAAATGACGATTGTATATTAATAGCCAGAAATGTTGCTGGCCCAGTTGGCTGAGTCTGCGCTCAAGGATGTTGTCTCCTTTTTTGGGCCTTTTGCCCCCAACATTCTATTTTAAATTAAAAAAAAGCCAAAAAATTCTTAACTAGTTAACTAAGCGGCAAGACTATCTTGTAAGGCAGGTCAACTAGTTGTTTGATCTTATTTGATGTGAATTTGTGTGTTTTGGTACTTGATTAAATAGAGAAGTAGGCACACATCTCTATGCCCTACATTTTATTTTTCTTAATCCATGGGTACATATGGTATTTTTCAAGATCATTTTTCTAAGTGTGGCTCTCATCTCCTTTCAATCACTGCCCCCCCATCAGTCTTTCAGTCTCCTTTCTTCAGGGGCTATCAGTTTTTTGTTTTTCTTTCTGAGAGAAAAGCTAGCCAACGTACTGGAAGGAAGACCCAGCTCTCCCCCGGAGTGACACTTCTAAGAGACTGCCAGTCTGGCTTTCAAAACAGGGTTAAAGCAACCACTGTATTCAAACTATTTATTTATTTATTTATTTTTTGAGACTGTGACCCATGTAGTCCAGGCTAGCCCCAAACTTGCTGCGTGGCAGAGGATGGCTTTGAACTTCTGATTTCCTGCATCCATCTCCTCACTGTTGGGTTTTCAGCTGTAACAGTACTGTTCCTGGCATTCTGTGATGCTGGGGTCAGAGCCCAGGACCTTTCTCTGTGATGTTGGGACTAGAATATAGGGCATTGTGCGTAGACAAGCACTCTACCAGCCTAGTAACATCCTAAGCCCTTCAAACAGCCCTTTTTTTTAAATAAAAAGATTTATTTCTCTATGTTTATGTGTGTGAGTGATTAGCTTACATGTATGAAAGTAAACACACGCATTCTTGGTGTCTGTGGAGGCCAGAAGAGGGTGTCAGAGACACTGTGTGGGTGCTGGGAATCAAACTGGGGGTTCTCTGGAAGGGCTGCTGGTGGTCTTAACCACTGTGCTATTTCTCCAGCCCAAACAACTTTATTTAATAACTTTAGGAAGCCATGGAGAGACCTTAGGGCTAGAACCGTAATGCACTCCTAACCCTAATTCTTGGAGTCACAGGTAAGCGAGGTAAATGCAGACCTCATCAAACGCAGATGTAGCCCTTACTGTTTTCATTCCGTCGTCTTTCAGGACTTGCTCGGTGCAGTGGATGCAAGAACGGCTCTGGAAAAGGAAGCCAAACTCTTCCAAGAAAGGCTGCTTGCTGCGCAGCGAGCCTGGGACGCTTCAAAGCAAGAGCTGAACCAGCTGAGGAAAAACTACCAGCAGCTGGACCTGAGCTTGAAGGCTGGTAGGGATGCTGCGGCAGCCTTCCAAAGCCAGAACTCCTCCTTCAGGGAGAAACTCGCCAAGCTCCTTTGCAGCGGATTGGATGCGGCTGGGCCCACAGAGGATGTCATATTGGAGAGGATTCGAGACCTAGGCATCCAGGAAGAGAGCAAGACCAGGGTGAGTAGACCATGGTCCCTTACATCTTTCTCAGCATTCACTCAGCACTCAGCAGCCGCGTCTTGGAATTAGTTAATATATGATGGAGCATGTTTGCACCACCCTCAGCGGTACCCAGGATGGCCCGAGTCAATGATGGAGTTGGAGCTGTCCATGCGGAGCCCGCCATGGTTCTCCCACGCATTTACTCATGGTGGCGTGAGCTTAGGCAATGCCCTGAGATCATGGTTTCCGATTTCAATCATCAGTGCCTTTTTCTGTTTTTCTCTTCCTTCCCCCTCCCCCATCCCCATGTGCCTGCGCGTGGTGTGTGTAGGAGAAAAGGGCCAGCCAAAGAAACACATTCTGACCCTAAAACCAGTGCTAAGGAGACACACTTTGACCATAGAATTAGAGCCAGCGAAAGAAATATGGCATGACCCAAAAATTAGAGCCAAAAGGCTAAAAAGGGCCAGTAACAGAATCACACTTTGGCCTTGAAAACCAGAGCCAAATCCACCCCTGACCAACTAAGCAAAACAAAACAAAACAAAACAAAACAAAAAAAAACCAACCGATCTCTGAGCACAAGATCTAGCCAATCTGAGCTCAGGGAATTGAAATCTGACCAATCCCCACCCTGGAAATCTTCTCCCTAGAAAAGCCCCACCCCTAGGGAGCCCTGTACAAACCCCGTGCCTGTTCAGTTTGTGCCTGTCTTCTTCCACCCTGGTAGAGGCAGCCAATCTCCTGGAGTCTTCCCTCCCAATACATCTCTTGAATGAGGGTTGGGTGACAATCTTCTTTCACTGGAGTGGGGCAGAGCAGAGAAGTACCAACTTATCGCCTAAGGCAGAGCTGAGCAGGTCTGTAACACTTTCACTGGGGAAGCTTTTCCCTAGCAGAGTTGTTATACTCCAGACCTGAGCTGAACTGTAACAACCTCACGGGGGAAGCCCTCCCCTGCCCTAGCAGAGCTGTTACACTGGGAAACCTTTCCCTGGAGCAGGGCTGTAAGTTGTTATGCTTACTGTGACTGGTGGTATTCTGCTGGAATGCTTTCCCATCTGAGCTGTGTGTGGTGTGTATGTTTCTGTTTGCATGTATCTGCATGTGCTAGTGTGTGGTGTGCACACATCTGTATGCATGTGTCTGTGTGTGGTATGCATGCATCTGTTTGCATGTGTCTGTGTGTGATGTGTGTGTTTCTGTTCACATATGTCTGCATGTGTCTGTGTAGTGTGCATGCATCTGTCTGCATGTGTCTGGGACTGTGCGGGTGCATGGGCCTGTAGAGGCAGGAAATACATGTCAAGAATCTTCTTTTGAGACAGGCTCTTTAGTCAACTCCAGAGCTCAGTGATGTGGTCAGCCTCACTACTACACAGCTTGCTCTAGAGAGTCCCATCTCTGCCTTTCAAGGCTAGAATTACAGGCGAGCCACCAGACCCACAGGCATTGACACTTGATGTCAGTTCTGGAGTCCTCTGTTTGGCCCTCTTGCTTACACAGTGAGCGCTTTAAGCACAGGCCTTATCTCCCCAGCCCCAATGATCTCTCTCTCTCTCTCTCTCTCTCTCTCTCTCTCTCTCTCTCTCTCTCTCTCTCTCTCTCTCTCTCTCTCTCTCTCTCTCTCTCTGTCTTCCTTCCTTCCTTCCTTTCTTCCTTCCTTTCTTTCAATATTGAAGATGGAACCTAGACTCTCACATACAGAAGGAAGGTCCATCAGTGAACCACCATTCCCACTTTCTAGATTTTACCTTGTCATCTTATTAGCAACTAGTACAGTGTTCATAGTCCCTGTTCAAAACTGTAAGATTCTTGGGGTTCATTGAGTCTTTCCTTTTTTGGGGAGTGAGTGGTGTTTTTGTGTTACAATTTCATTATGTATCTAGGCTGGCTTCCATCCCACAGGAATCTTTCCCCCCACCTCCTGAGTGCTAGAATTGCAGGCCGGTTCTACCACACTCCCCAGTGTGCTTTCAAATCTAGGGCCTTCATGGGCTTGTGAACTGAGTATATAGCAAAGCCGTATATCAGCCACACACAGTTCTCCACAAGGGGTCTAGACCGTGCCCCATTGCCAGCCACACTCTCCTTGATGTAGTGGAACCCGTGAGCCACTCCAGAGACTATAAATAGCCTGAGTCATTGAGGGTTTGCTGTCCTGCAGGGTCAGGTCAAGGCAAGTCTTGCTATTGAGGAAATAAGTTACCAGTATTTGTCTCATAAGGTACTGTTTATTAGAGGCATTCAGTGGGACAGTTGTTATTATGTTCACCAACACGCTATCTGGCAAATCAAAACAGCAAGCGTTAACTATTGCTGCTCTGCCTCCTCTCTATCCTTCCTTCTGTTCTCCGCACTTCGTGCTGGGGCCCAGGACAGCCAGTGAGGAGACTCACTCAATGAACATCATCCACACTGTCACCAACTGCCATCTATAGAGCTCTACGTAGTGGTGTGGACTTCAGCCCAGACTGTTGCAGGGATCATCGCCTCCCAATGATGACTTGTGTTCTGGTTAGTGAGTTTGGAAGTTAAATGGCATTACATTTGTGTGTAGAACCCACTATGGCTACTTCTTTTTTTGATGTTAAACTCACCCCAAGGAGGCGAGTGTGCTTTCCCACGTTTCAGTGTCCCTCTCGCACAGGTCAGCGCTGTGTCTTTTGTGTTCTCCCCATCTCCTCTCCTTCCTCTGCCCCAAGAAACTATGGTTTTGTTTTGTCTACTGCTTTGTATTTGACATTGCTCCTCCTTTGAAAGATTCTGCATATAGGTGAGATCATGCAATATTTTCCTCCCATGTCTGATTTCTTTCACTACGCACAGTGTCTTTTAGGTCCATCCATGTCGTAGTAAAAAAGGGTAATAGGGGAGAGGGTATGTGCGCTAAACTGTTTCAAGATATATGCTAAATGTGGATCTTGGACCATCTTCGTAGACCTTAACTTTTTCTTGTTTGTCTGTGTGAGTGAATGTGGTGTGTGTGTGTGTGTGTGTGTGTGTGTGTGTGTGTGTGTGTTTATGTGGAGACTAGAAGTTGACCTTGGGTCAATATTGTTGCTCAGATACCATTCATTTTCTTTCTTTCTTCTTTCTTTCATTTTTTTTTGAAACAGAGTTTTGCACTGGCCTGAAAATCACGAGTAGGCTGTGCTGTCTGGCCAGTGAGCCTCACGGGTATGCTTCTCTCCACCTCACCATGTCCTGCTTTTGTTATGTAGGTTCTTATAACATGAAAAATAAAAGACCCAGAGACGGATATTGGGGGTACAAGCTTCAAGCTGTAGATCAGAAAAGCAAAGTATCAGCCACTAGCTATCACCTCTACCTATGCTCAGACCAAAGGGGGCGATTCTCAGACTGTTCCCGACTTCATTGTTCCTCAGATTCACTTAGATTGCTGTACTCTGCTCAACGTGGCTAGAGACTTCAATGTCTTCCTATCCTCAATGTGGCGGGATGTAAAGAGAAGCTTTTTCCTTGAGAGAAGCCTTCCCGCCAGCCTGGTTCTAGAGCCTCATCAGTCCCAAATAAACACACAGGAGGCTATATTAATTATGAAGCTGTTGGCCTTGCTTGTTTCTTACTGGCTTGCTCTAACTTAAGTAATTACCCCATAATTGTTAATCTAAGTATGTTTTTTTTACCGGAGAATAGTTCTGGGCTTCCTACCCCATGGCGTTACATGTTGACTCTCTTGTGTTTCTCCTTCCCAGAGTTCTCCTGGACTCCTAGTCCCACCTATCTTGATTCCCTATAGGCCAGCAGTGCTTTATTGACAAATGCACAGGACTTCCCCCCAACAGCTGGAGAATGGATGTTAGCTCTGAGACTCTGATCTTGTCTTAAGTACCTCTCATAAGTCCTGGGATTAAAGTTGTGTGATCCCAAGGCTGAGATCATCTTTGTGTGAGCTGTTTCTCTTTAGGATTGGATATATTTCTTATAGCTCAGTGTGGCCTTGATCTAACAAAGATCCATGTACCTCTACCTCTCAAGTGGTGGGATTAAAGGTGTGTACCATCACTGCCTGGCTTCTGTAGCTTGTGGCTGACTTGTCTATCTGAATCCTTCAGCAAGCTTTAATAAACCATAAATAATATATCACCATAGGTTCTGGTGATTGGATTCAGGCCCTGGCCCTCTTACCAGCCCCATGATGACTTTTTTGAAAAGTTAGTTTAGGAATGCATTTTTAAATTAAAAAAAAATGACAGACTCTGGAGATCCCCCATGGAGGGTCTCACCCTCCCTGGGGAGCAGAGTGGGGATTAGGTAGGGGGCTGGGGGGAATTGGTGAGGTTGGTGGGAGGGAGGGGGAGGAGGGGAGGGAGAGGGAGCTGGGGTTGACATATGAAGCAAGCTTGTTTCTAATTTAAATAAAAAAGAAAAAAAATAAATAAAAACCAACCTAAAATTCATGCATTCTCTACAAGTAATTCTCATAGCCCTTTTAGCTCAGTGAACAGCGTTTTTACAGTTTAGGGGTACCCTGATATATATATATATATATATATATATATATATATATATATATATATATTGCTGAGGGTAAGTCCATTTTTTTCTTGTGACTTGGTTTACACACAGGAACTCAACTGAGACAAAGCATCACTTACAGCACTGGGAAGAACTTCAGGAAGTTTTCTTGAGTGGTAATGTGTGTGTGTGTTGATAGGTAAGGCTTCCCCACACACTCATTTTATTTCATTCTATATATCTCAGCTTCTCCCTTACTGTTTTAATTCCAGTGTGTGAAACATGGCATGCAGTTGCCAGCATGATTTATAAGTTTATTTTCTAAAGCAAAGTGGTGTAAATTGGTCAAGCTGGCTACGCCTCCCCACTCCCCATACCAATGAGGATGGGTCAATCTTTTTAGCATGTTTCTCAGCCTCCCCTACCCTGTAATTTTTCTCAATAGCTGCACTTCCCATTTAAAAGCCCCAAATCAAGCTTGTAGCTGGTGTCTTGCGTGACTCATCTTCAAGTAAAATCAGGGGAAAATGGAC